CCCGATCGCTTAGGGAATGATTTTGGAGGTCTTGAAGACCCAGGACGATAAGTCGTTTCTGTGGAGATTGAATCATAAGCCTTCGTCTTCGAATAAATTATGTTATTTCGCATGGTCAGATTTTGTAACTCCAAACAAGCGGAATACGCTTCAGGCAACGTTCCTGGCCGCTGTATTATAATCATACGGGAAAGCTCTGGTTTTAATCCGCGTATGAATATGTCTAACGCTCTATTCCTGTATGTTCCTACTAAGGCTTTGATCGTTTCCTCACTGTGGGACTCTGTTTTTAATTTATTAATGATGAGTGAAAGTTGATAGTTGACTGTCGAATAAAACTCATCTACGCTTGAGGATCCCTGAGACAGCTGGTTGAGCTGATGTTCCAGAGTTTGAATATCCCGTTTATCAGCGTAGTGCAGGGAAAGTTTTCTTTTTATTTCCGTCCAATCACTGTCAAATACATTGTAGGATACCAGGGCTGTGTCGGCAGCGCCCGTAACTTTTTGAGGGACACTTTGTATAATTGCTCGTTAAATAGGTTTGTCCCTAACTATTTCAAAGTTCTTCAGTATAGTTTCCACTGAAGAACCCAGGAAATATACTGAGTGGGATTGCCTTCAAAAGTTCTTAATTCTTTCACACTGTCGGGGAGGCGACTTATATCTTTCAACTCTGTTTCAGTCCGCGGTCGTTGAAGAGATCCTTCGTCGGTGACCAGTGGTGGTATCGCGGCCACCTGCCTATTTTCTAGACGCTCTATTCTATCCAAGACATTTCCTAAAGCATTGTTGCTCAAACTAGCTTCTATCGTCCCTATCCTGTTTTCTATCGACTTCATTTGTCCCATAAACCGATTTATGGCTCCAGTCATGGTCGTTACCGTGGCCCTAAGTTCTTCCATTTCTAATTGTTGACAAGGGGGAGAAATAAAAATATTCACGTACCTGTTATGTCCTTTATGAAGAAGGTCCTTCTTGTTTTCACTTCACTTTACTTTTTTTATAAAAAAATTCTTCTTTATATTTATCTTTTCTTAATTTTCAATTTATTTCTGTATTTAACTTCTTCTCTTCTTTTTAAATAAAAAACTTCTTTATATCTCAATTTTATTATTTTTTAATTTTCAATTCTTTTTATGAAGAAGATCCTTTTTGTTTTCACTTTACTTTTTTGTTATAAAAAAATTCTTCTTTATATTTATTCTTTCTTAATTTTCCATTTATTTTTGTATTCAACTCTTTCTCTTTTTTTATATATAAAAAACTTCTTTATTTCTCAATTTTTTTTTTTGAATTTTCAATTCTTTTTTGGATTTTATTCTTCTTTAATTTTCAATTCTTTTTTTGAATTTTTATATTTTGGTGAGCCTTGGCTAGGCAGCGCGTCTCGACCGTTTAAAACCCTTTTACTCCTCACGGAAGGACCGTATTTCTCCGGTTTGGAGATCCACTTTTATGATCGTGGATACCTACTGAGGTACGGTTTACTTCACTTCCGCCTCGGTAACCTACGGTTATATGTTTCGGTTGGATAACTATCAGGAATACCGGATTAGCGAAGGAGGAGTTAGATTTTGTGAATTAATTTATAACTCACAGGACCACTAAGCACTTAAGTCAGGGTCCCTGCTCGGGCGCCAGTTAAAGGATTTTATACGATCGCGAATAAAAAAATTAATTCCAAGGTGCTTCCAACTGCGCCTGATTAAATAAAACACGGATATTTAATTTTTTAACAATTATAACGATTCACAATTTAATGATACTCAAAATAATTAATAGAAGATATTAATATTTAATGAACTGTACTCGAAATAGCCAAAGCCAAGTCTGCCGGTTGCCTTCCAACTTTGTTGGCTCAATGGTTCTATTGATTCCGTTCGACCAACACGCGCCAGTATGCAGGTGCTGATACTGCAGAAAGAATTTCCCATCGCTTGCAATATCGAAATTGGATCGGAAGCGCGTGTTGCAATCAAAATGAAATGAGCTTAAGTTGCAGAAGCGACAGTGTCGCCAATGTCGTTAACTTAATAATAATAATAATAATTATAATAATAATAATAATAATAATAATAATAATAATAATAATAATAATAATAATAATAATAAATACATCGGTCACACATAAATATGTATGCATGCATGTGCATGTTCGCCTACTTCTCATATATTTTCAACAATAATAATAACAAAGTAGGTGGATGATGGGGGTCACGACGCGACGACACAGCCTATCAGATTTCGATTAAATAAAAGAAAAGGGAACAGGCAAATGAGTGGTCACCAAATAAAAGGTAATTTTTTGGCTACACTTGTGATAATAAGTATACATAAAATAATTGGTTTTTATAATTTAATATAAAAATAATGTAGGTATATGTAGAGAAGTGTAAATTGCTTGAAAATAATAATAATTTAATTAAAGGGAAGTAATGTACCGAAAGAAAAAATACACTAGAGACCAAACTTGCGTCGTTTCCAGTTGCGTCACTTTTCAAAACACACGGGCGTAGCAGCATCTGTTGATCAAGCCATTGGTTGTTACAAAGAAATATATCAACAAAAAAATCTTGAAAAATTTAACAAACTTTAGACATTTTTGTTAAAAAAAAGAGGAATACCATCCAATCAAATGGATATAAGTGTTGTTGATTTAGATTTATCATCCGAAGAGAGTTCAATGTAAGATAAATAAATTACAATTTTTGAATGCATCTTCTTTTTTCGAATATGTTTACATATATATGTAAATAAATTTAATTTTTGTTATGTTTTTTTTTAATTTATTATTTTGTTATTTCTTTATAATAATTATAAATATTTTTTTGAAGTAAATGGAATAAATAAAAATAAATTCATACTTCTTTTTTTATCAAAAATATAAAATTGTTTGCATTGTTTTGAATATATTCCACAGTAAATTAAATTTTCGAACGAAATTAATTATCGAACGTCTCGGTTTTCATGTTGACATCGACTTATGACCTTTGTAAAAGCCGAAGGCAATTTTGAACCTCGACGTTTGACTTCGGGAAAGGCCGAAGGTAATTGTTTAGAATTCAAAGCAAGATTTTGGACAGACTTGTAGAACAGAGAAGATTCTCGTCTTTAAAATTAGTGGAAACCAGATATGGATTTGAACAAGTTGTTCCAAAACAACAAGAGAATCTCAAATAAAGATTTGAACAAAGCATCAACGAGTGGAGATACAAACTGCACAGAAACCGGTTCGACGAGATTGACCAAAAGCAGAAGGATTGAAATTTTCGAAGGATTCAAAAGGTTTAAGAACAATGTTAGTAGCTCTAACAAACCGAATTACTGGAGATATCGACATTTTTAAGCAAAGCTCTCAAAAAGGAAACCACGATGAGAGTATAAATTTTAAAGTTTGAAAAATGGCGACTGACTCTCAATGAAAAAAGAATTTTCACGAATCTGAACCAGAAAATAATGTACGAAAGCCTTACAAAGTGTTAGCTAGGTGATAAGAATTAAATCAAAGCGCAACTAAATGAGAGAAAATCTAAGAAAAACTTCCTCTGTGCGATAAAACTACAAAACTATAATAATATTTAAAATAATATTTTGTTGCTGCAAAATGGAGTGATGGGTATTATTGTTGCAATTTTTGGCAATGTAACTCAAGTGAGAATTGATCTTTTTGCGAGGACGATAAAATAAGGAACCGCCAGAGAGATGGACGATTATTACATGTTTGTTGTTTTTTTAATCAGAAACAAATAATTCTCGATAAAGGGCTCAGCACAAGTTTGAACAACAAATAAATCAAGCAACCAAAAAAAATATATATATATTTATGTATGCTGTTATTACCAATATAGTGATATAAATTCTTCTTCAACTAAGGCGAGGGAGTAGAGCAACAACGAGGGGGAATAATTTTTGGTTAGATGAGATTGTCTATTCTCACAAAGGGTTCAACATTTAAAATGAGAGTAAGGGAACGAAAAAAATAAACGAAGCGGTAATAACAAGAGTACCAAATATTTTTGTATGATCAAGGTGACGACGGATGATCAGTACATTATTTTTACAAAAGCAGAACTATTTGATGTAGGGGAATGCACTCGATTAACACAAGAAGTGCTAATATAAGTCGACCAACTTACTTGTTTTCAACGACAGAAAATGATCAGTACAACGAAATAATGTATAAAAACGAGAGTGTGGACTGTAATTAGATATATAGCAATACTACGCGAATAGAAATTTCCAAACAGGTATTTTAAATATAAACTAATAAATCACTGAGTTTATTTTAAATAGAAATCTGAATTTATGTATCTGTTTCTTAGTTGTATATGTTGGTAACGATGAGAGATGATACAGTGATTTTCTCATACTATGGCAAACGAGAGTAAGTCTTGGGTCGAATCCAGCTAGGCAGACAGCATCAAGAAGAACTCCCAATGGTTATTGCGTGATATAATTATGAAATATGACAAGAAATAAAACGAAGATAAATTAGGATGATTCGAAATTAGTTTCATGCTTTACTTATGCATCTGTTCAATGCGACAAATTACCTTAAGTAATTAGGACGGCGACAGAGGCCGTGTACTTATGGTTTCGTTTTTAGAAGACAAGTGAATGCAGAGGTTCTAAGTGATCACAGAGGATCCCTTGTCTCTGTTTTATTATAACTACTTACAATGAGGGCAAACTGACAAAAACCGATGCTGATGTAGAGAAGGTGCCAGTGTGCCAATCAGCATCCGTGATTGACTTTAAAAATTACAATAAATTCATATCAACTAACCAAACTCTAGTGTTCGATAGTGTACAATATAAATTTGAAAGGGGAGATACAATGAACATGAAAAAAATATATATTAATTAGAGAAGCCAAAAAATATGGCAGTCTTAAAGTACGAAAATTTTACAATTACTTAACATTATTGTAATTTTAGAGTAAAAGGTGTAAATCATAGAGTTATTTAAACACTACATTATAAGAATTGCAATTTTCAGCACTCTAAATGATATTCATGCTATTATTCTTGCTCGAGGAGGATCAAAGGGGATTAAGAGTAAAAATATGTTGACTTTTAATGGGACTACACTCCTTGGCCAAACGATTAAGACACTTGCTGAAACAAACAAATTTAGTGCCATATGGGTCTCAACAGACGACAAGAGGATTGCACAAGAAGCTATAAAAAGTAAGTAAAAAATTAATACTTTCATTTTATTTAACACAATCCGGAGAAAAGCCACTCAGTATATTACACACTTTTGGTACAAACTCCCTCGTTGTTAAGTGGTTCATAAAACCACTCCTTCATAGTTGCTATTAGCGTCCATCATTAAATGCAGTTTAAATTAATTTTTTTTATTCCATTTACAACACTTCGCCAGGTTTTAAAAGTTTTATTCATAATTTTTAACAGAATTTGCTGTAAATTGACAAATAGCGTCCCCAGTATGTAGAAAACATCTTTGCAATGATGTTGGTCCAAGTTTTAGTGTAGTCCGCTTACATAGCATTTTCAAATTAAATAAAAATTTTGCAAATGGACCTTTTTCAGCGGCAATGAAACTGTAATTAGAATGAAATGAAACATATTGCGATTGAAATTTAACTTTTTGCAACATGGGCGAAATAGCTCTTTATTGATTCATACGAAATATTTCCAGATCAAATATTTTTAATCTTAACGATAAAAAAGGGAAAAAATACTGGAACTTACTACTACAAATTAAGTGGGAAGGTCTGAAATGCGAATTTTAGCTTTATTAGAATTATATTATAATCTTTTCAGCTTGCGCAATTTTTAATAATAGATTCATTTTGTAGATAGAGCAGTCTTGTTGGGTATTGATTTGAAATGTACTTTATTGATCCCATATAACATAACCTCATCGCTTAAGTAAGAATTTTCTCCAAACATTTGACATGGAAACATGGGGTGTTTTGTTGCACCACTGATCGTATTGTACATTTGTTGAAATCTGTTCACTACTTTTTATTACAATATTAAAATGTTAATGCCAGATTTCTAAAGTCCGTCTTGGCTGTCGGTTGAGTGTTTGTGAATATTACACGTTCGTGTGTAACTACTAAGGTAAATCTCTTCACCTATTAAAGAAGCAATCCTTTATATAATTAAGAAAATAAAACGATCGTGTTTTATTTCTATTTTTCTCCCCCTTTTTATGGGAGCCTAACTTCGGCGCATAAGCAAATGATCCTGTCGAGCCTGATTCATTCTATTGGAATTAACATTTTGTCACTTCGAACTGCGGTCGGAATCGGCTCTCTCGGGAAATCCCTATACAGCCCTTCAGCAATTCAAGTTTTTGGTTGTTGTCTTCTATGTTCGTGTGAAAGATATCCCCAGCATTTTCTTCAACATCATCATATTCACTTATAAATAAAAGGAAGGTGCATTGCAGTTATTTTGTTTTTGTGAGCTCTTTTAGTGCAAATTGCCATGCTCGGTGTTAATAATCATACATTTCTACAGATTTGTGCTATTGAATAATATGAATGATTCATACACACACTTTGTATACATACATATCCTTGTTACTGTTACTATTACTGACCTTCAGTTTTAAATATATATTTTTGTTGATTGGCTGCTCTTCTTTCTTACGTGTACTGGTATAGCGTCGGGTCGGTAGATTGTGGTTCAGTAATATGTTTGATACAAAGCTAAATTTCTTGAGTTTCTGCCTTGTTGCTGCAAGGCAAATTAATTTCTAAAAATGTATTTATTCATTTTTTTTTTGGTTTTTAACCAATTTAATTTATAATTGAGATACAATTTTGCATACATGTGTATGCCAGTAGGCAGATAAAGTTTATACATGGACCATTTCGGTCCACGTTTTCGTTTAATCTCTATATAACGGTATTTCCTTAATATTCAGCATTTTAATGACTTCAACGACTTTATTTAACGGATTTGTTTCAAATTTCGTATTTGAAATTCTTAATGGGCTGAAGTTTCCTTTGACAAAAAACTGATCAACCGCAGTTCTGGCCTTTGGAATGCCTCAAAAGTAGAAGAATATGACAACGATCGGTAACTAGTGCATAGTAATTTGACAATCCTTTTCGCAACACCAACTCTTGAAAAATAAAGTAGCTCTGGTTTAAAAGTAATTCGACATGACATTAATCGATGCCTTTCCGCGATGTCCTTATATGATATTCCTACGGATCATTGGGAGTCAATTATCGTTTTATTTGCCAAAAGTCACAATGACACTGTGACAGAAAAATGTTAAAAATAAAACCGAGATTTCTTCGGTAGTGAAATCGTCTTGTTGTTTGTTTGTTTCAGAAATACTACCCCTTCGGCAATATTTTCAACAACAAATAGTCCTAGTGCAATTGCACTACTTCCAAGTTCACGTTTTTCAGTTTCAGTTCCACCAAACTATGGAGAGAGGTTGGAATAGAATTTGGGAAATAATTTTAGTAAACAGGAAGAAATTTGTGTTTATTTTGAATTAAACTTGTAAAAAGCTAATAAATTTGAAAGGCACTAAATTTCAATACTCACCACTATTTGCAAAGAAATCCTTTTAAAAACTTGTCTATGAGTTCTGAGGACTTTTACTAGACCGGTACATATTTTTCTGTTATTTTGCAATTACATACTTCAATAAATTCTGTTACAATGCTGTTAAGATACCGAATATCGGGTGCTCCCTTTACATGAATCTATACGGAAACGTGAAGCTATATAAATCAGGGGTAATGCTGCCTATTGTCTGCACCATACACTAAATATGAAATAATTCCGATGAAAAATGTGGCGAAATCATTAATGATAGGGATGGGGGCTATAAGAAGACGTGGACCTTTACAGGCAAGAAACTGGTACCCACTAAGAATTCCAAATACCAAACTTGAACCTATTCTGATGAGAAATGCAGTCATGAAATATCGAATATCGGGAAGCACGAAAATAGAATTTTCAAATTAAATGAAACTTTTTGCAATTGAAATTAAACTTTTTTGCCGAAATTAAACCTTTTGCATATCAAATGAATCTTTTAAATTTATAGAAAGGAACACACCCAATGATTGTTATTTGTAGTAATATAGTTAAATAGATATTTGTATATCCTTCATATTTTATTCCAAATAATAATAGCTTTATGTCTATAAGAAGATCTGGACTTGCATAAGAAATTTTTTGTCATTGGCTGTTCTGCCGATTGCTAATTTCAAATATAAAATTTTAAACAATTAAACAAATGAATAAAGTCGCTTATATCATCAAAATACCGAATAAATGGACGTATCGTTATATGTGGACAATAGAATATTTGAAATATGTAAAATTGGCCGAATCGGACATATTTATAGTATTTGTTGCATTAAATATAGGAAGTCGGCCAAAACTATACATGGAAGGTATATCCAAACCCCAACTGATTTCCATAAGTTTTGTCGAATTAAATTCCGCACAAAATTCCGTTGGTTATTGTGCGTTTTTTTTTATATGATTTAGGTCGCAATATATTGGCATAGTAATTTCAAATTATCTATATTTGTACTCGGAAACACTTCGGATTAACTTAATAATTTTATTCTATGGTTCTCGTTTAGTGGTTCTCTTTTAATGTATTGTAGTACAATAGAAGCTGGTATTATTATTATTTGTCGAGAAGAAAGTTTAAAATTGGATTGTTATGACTTTTTACACCCCCACCATGGGGGTCATTCCATTCGTAACACCTCGTAATATTCGTGGAAGACCTTTGAGCAGTGTTGCCGTTTGAAATTTTTATTTCAGCCCAAATTTTTTCTAAAAACCGCCCAAAATCGACCATATCCGCCCAAACTGTAAAAAGTTGAATAATTTATATGTAGTTTGTATTCAAGTAAGAAAATGACAATTTTACACTATACATAAAAAAGGTACTCAAGTTTTATTACATTCAATGTATTAAATACTTTAGAGAAAATAAAAATGTTATGTTATTTTACTTCAAGTTTTTTTTTTATATACATATTTGAAAAAGTAACATAATACAAGAATTCAATGTATTAAATACATTTAAGTCATTATTATTATTTAGGTTTTTATACCCTACAACACTATGTGTTGGGGGTATTATAAGTTTGATTGGGCCAAAAATTATGTAACACCACGAAATATTGGTTTCCCACAAAGTATATATGGATCTTCCTATCTCACCGAGCTGAGTCGATCTAGCTCTGTATGTCCATGTAAATTTGTAATCACTCTACAGGTCGCAATTATGGCCCGATCTTCACGAAATTTAGAATGTAGCTGGGGTTAAGGTCAGAATAGAACCCTATTTCTTTTGGAGATGATCGCATAATATTTAGGGGTTGAAATGGACCAAATTTCCTGATTTTGCAGTTGCTCTACAGGTCACAATTATAGACCAATCGAAGCGAAGTTTAGCATGGGGCTAGATCTTTGGACTGGGCAGAAGCCTTCCAATTTTGATGGTCATCGGGTAATATTTAGTGGTTTAGTAGACCATAGCATTTGCGATAAATAAAAGTAAATTTTTCCATTAATCCGCGAATATTTTTACTGCCGGCGAAATCACAAATAGACGAACAGGTCAATTCTGACCGTTACGTAGATGCCGATAGTAAAAATATCGGATATATATATAGAGAAATATATACAATGTATATATACAAAGGAAGGGGATGTCAGCTAGAATGCTTATATCTTCACAATGGCTGGAGCGATTTTGACAAATTTTGTCAATTGCCCTTGTGGCATTAAAGTATAAATACTACAAAATCGCATAAAAAGATACCAATAATGATGTTCATATAGATTTTGTAGTATTTTGAGACATTTTCTTTATTTTTTCATATTTTTTTTCGCATGCGATTTTTTCGAGTTGACTTATAATACAACACAGGTTAGGGTTATTATTTATATACAGATTGCAATTATCGTTCGATCCTCACGAAATTTTTCACAAGGGTTAGGCTCAGAAGGGCAAGGCCTATTGTTTTCAAAGATGTCCGCAATATATTCATATATATATGAACCAAAAACAGAAAAAAAATTCCTGATCACACAATTGAAGCCAATCGACACGCCTGAGAAAATAGGTAAGCACAGGGAAGAATTCTGGCATTTTGGATGACCATTGGAATATATTTAGCCGTAAAATGGAACACAAAAACTAACAGCACGACGGAGTG